AGACATAACTACCCTTGGAACCATGGGTCGTCTTTGGTTTCACCAAATTATTCTGTTCCCAGAATCCACTTCACAAGATGCCACAAAACCCTTGAACCCCAGAACAAGCTTTTAAGTCCATCACAAAGCATCTATGTATCATCTATTCCTGAAGTAGAAATTTCAAAAACTATTTCATTGCTCAAAGAAGAGGTGAGCATGGAGTATTCATCAGTGGGAACAAAAACAAATACATAGCTTACTACTTTCTTTAACTTTCTTTGTTTCCTTCTTCTACTAACTTTGTTGTTCTATGGTGCAATATCAAGGATGATTCTAGTAAGTAAGATTCAATCACCAAGGAAAAGAAAAACCCAAGGAGATTGAGTGTTGGGAGAAGTAGGAGTTGGTCGCTTTCTTTTTCACCATCAACACAAAAACATTAGAAGATTGAATCAGAGATACTCAAGTAATTCAGAGACTAAACTACAAAATTCAATGAGCTATAGGAGCTTGATAGACTTGGAACTTGAAGAAGTAAAAGGGTTCATGGATCTTGGCTTCATATTCAAGAAAGAACACTTGAATTGACAAACAATGAGGGTAATCCTAGGCCTTCAGAGACTTGGGTTTCATAAAAACGATGATACTAACATAGAACAAGCTAAGAAGGATGATGAAGAAGATGATACTAAACAGGAGGAAGAGGAAAGAGGTGTAATGAGACCATATTTATCAAAAGCTTGGCTAATAAAGAGACCCAATTCTCCTTTATTGAATTTGAAGTTGCCAAGGGAGTTGCAGCTTCTAATATGAAGAAACATCTTAGGTTTTGGGCTAGAATTGTTGCATTGGAAATTCAGTAGGAATCCTAAACCCCAAAATTTTTCCAACAAACAAACAGTCAATCTTTGGGAAAGTTTTCCAACATCAACTGTAAATAGAGTCTTACTGTCAACAAAGATGAGCTAAGGAGCACTTTTTGTCACTTGTTCAATAACTTTTTGCGTTAAGATGAAAGTGAACATTATTGTCTTTCCTATTTTGTTGAGTGATATCCTATGAAAGGGGAAGAGATACGGCAACAAAAAGAAAGGAGGGGTCCTACCATGTTGTGGGCTGTGATACATCTGAAAACCAGGAAGATGGCTTCTTAGCGCAGCCAAGAGTCCCATGACAGTTAACACCATCTTCATGTGTGTTTTTGTCTGCATGTGCTTTGAGGCTGCATTTTCCATTTGCTCTTCCTTTTTTTTTTTTTTTTTAAGTCAGATGGTGATGTTATCTCATGTGAATGTGCATGTGTAATCATGTGACTTCGGATAATTACAGATGAAGTAGCATAGCATTTCTTACATATGAAATTTTTTCGTTCCTATATGTAGTTTTTGTTAAGTATTTTTATTTGACAAAAATAATTTTTAATTATTATTTATATAAATTCTTAAATTTACATTTAAAACTCTTTTTTTAAAACTTGAAAATCAAACTAGATTTACT